TTTCTCCCCTCCTGAAAAAGCACAGTGTAGGTCCCGCCCTGCTCCTCTCCCGAAGCCAGATCCCATAGCAAATGATTAGAAGCTCGCGCTCCCGAGGCCAGAGCCCCTCCCAACTTGCAGCCGTTTTAGGCTCCCGAGGCAAGAGCCCGTTGTAGCACAGTGCCCAAGTCGCGCTCTCGAAGCCAGACCTTCATCTAAACTGCGCCTGGCTCGCGCGGTAAACGGCCCAAACACGCAACACACAGTGACCAATGATAGCCCAAACATCTCTACAGGGCAGTTTGTAATACACAGGAGTTTTAAGATATCGTATTTTAATGCATGATTAAAGTATGAGTAAATTTATGCATGAACGCATCGTTGTTTTTGTATACTGAATCCCTGCATGTTTAATGCATGATCCGCACGCGGAGCATGTATATCCCCGCATGACGTTCCCAGATGCCTTCAGTACGGCGCCCCGACACTCCTACAGGCGTCGGCCATCTCCTATTCTGATGGCGTGGCGGGGGGAGCGCACGAGCAGGAGGGGAGGGGCGACGACATGGGGGAGGAGAAAGAAGAAGGGCTAGGGGAGGGGGGAGGAGGAGGAGGAGGAGGAGGAGGAGGAGGAGGAGGAGGAGGAGGAGGAGGAGGAGGAAGAGGAGGAGAAGATGGATGGATGACGTCGAGGTGGAGGGAGGGAGGAGGAGGAGAGAGAGAGGATGAGTATGAAAGGGGTGGTGGCGGGAGAAGGAGGAGGAGGAGGAGGAGGAGGAGGAGGAGGAGGAGGAGGCCCCCCTCCTCCTCTTGCTCGTAAGAATGGCCCAAACTCGACCTCTGGCCGCAGCAGGTTCCGAAGGCGGGGGAGTGGAGGGGAGTGGGGGGAGATGAGGATGAGGAAGACGAGAGCGAAGGAGGACGTCGAGCGCGAGAGGGGGATGGCGAGGAGGAAGCCAAGGAGCAGAGTTAGGAGGCCGAAGGGCAGGAGGATGGGAAGGAGGATCGGGAGCAGGAACAAGAGGGCAGGAGGAGCGGGAAGGGCGGCTGCAGGCTGAAGCATGGGTGCCTGTCGAGCAGCAGCGCCGCAACCTTTTTCGCCTCGGGCCCGGCGAGCTCCTCGGCGCGCCAACACAGAGCCTACTCCTCCTCCTCCTCCGTTGCAGCTCCTCCTCCTTCTGAATTGATCCTCCTCCCTCGTCCCGCGCCCCTATCGCCTCCCCCTCACGAAGAGGAGGAGGAGGAGGAGGAGGAGGAGGAGGAGGAGGAGGAGGAGGAGGAGGAGGAGGAGGGGGAGGAAGAGAGGAGGAGGAGGAGTGAGGAGGAGCGAGGAGGAGCGAAGTGGAGTGAAGAGGAGTGAAGAGGAGTGTTGATGATGAGGAGGAGAAGGAGAAGGAGGAGGAGGAGGAGAAGGAGGAGGAGGAGGAGGAGCTGGAGCAGGAGCAGGAGTGAGGAGGAGGAGGAGGAGGAGGAGGAGGACCTCCTCATCTGTCCTCCCGCTGACCCACCCCCTTCCGCCCTGCCTGCGCCTCCCTGTTCGCGCCTCCTCCTCCTGCCACCCCCCTCGACGAGCGACAACGACGGTCGCGACGCCGACCGCGATGCTGACGGCAACGATAGCCAAGGGGGGGTTTAAGAGTCAGCTCACGTAGCTGATTTTCCCGGCGCCTCCCGGCGCCAGAGGTGGCTATGTATCGAGGAATGAGCCCCTCGGTGGGGCCGAATCCAGCTGCATGCAGCTGACTTCGTAACCCCTTTCCCAATCCCCCCCTTTCGTCTGGCCCGAGTCATTCGCCACGTTGCGCCGCATCGTTCTTGCTCGTGGCGCCGCAGACGCGCGCGGGATGCGCGCGGCCAGAACGCGCGCCCCGCCATCTGCTGCTCCTACTTCACCTCTTTCCCGTTCCCTCGAGGGAGGGAGGGACAGGGGAGGTGGGGGGCGCTGGGATGGGCAAGGGTAGTTTGGCTAGAAACTCTGGGGAAGACGTGGGAGAGACCTCAACGTATGAGGGGGTCCTCCTCATCCTCTTCTCTTCTTCCGCGATTCCCCACCTCTCCAGGAGCGTGTAGAAGTGCTCAAAGAAATATCTGATATGACCGAAAAGGTCTTTGGTCGGCTGCTTGAGGTTACTCGTGAGGTTGCTCTGCCCTGCAAGCGTTTTGCCCAAGACAGTCGAAGCTGTTGCCCACTCGGTCAAAATGCTCGGCTGGAGCGCTTTTCTTTATCCTCGTCGATAATGGGCGTTAAAAAAAATGGGTCCGGGGGGGGGACAACGTAACGCCGCCCCCCGGCGGTGTGGTTTCAACACCACGGGAGCCAACAAAAATCACGGAATAGTGGCCGTCATCGGCCCCACCCTCCTCCTCCTCCTCCTCCTCCTCCTCCTCCTCCTCCTCCTCCTCCTCCTCCTCCTCCTCCTCCTCCTCCCCAGATGACGTCACGCTCCGCGCCGGCGGCGTCCAGGAATGCCTCGGGATGACCAAGGCCCAATAGGAGCAGCATGCAAGTGGCCATCTGCCCCACAACGCCTGTGTATGCCACAATGCTCGCGTGCACCACACCGCGCCCGTGTACACCAAAGCGCCTGCGTACACCGCAAAAGCCGTGCGTAACGCAGCGCCTGTGTACACTACATGCTTGCGCTTACCACAACGTCGGTGTGCACCACAGCGAATGTGTACACCAGAGCAGCCATGTGCAACACAGCGCCTGTGTACACCACAATGTTTGCGTGCACTGCAACGCCTGTGCACACCACAACGCCTGTCTACGGCACATCATCCGCGTGCAACGCAGCGCTGGTGTACACCACAGCGCTGCGTGCACAGGACAGGTAAAAGGATCATGTAACTGAGGATCAGCTGCGGACAGCTAAACACCACGCCAGGGAAACGTTGATAATAGAACGGAGCGTTTTTCCCTCCCCCTCCTCCTCCGCCTCCTCCTCCTCCTCCACCTCCTCCTCCTCCTCCTCCTCCTCCTCCTCCTCCTCCTCCTCCCCCTCCTCCCTCACCTTTCCCCCTTGTCGGGTGGGGCGGCGCTACAGCGCACGTGCGCATCTCAGCGCGCACCGCAGAAGGGTTCATTGAATCGGTCCACTTAGTTGTCGGATGGCCAATTCTGCTGGAGCCTCCTGGACGCGTATGGGAGGAGGTAGAATTTTACTGGAGGGTTCGTAGATTCCAGCGGCGCTCCTTTTTCCAGAAGGATTCCTTTTGCACAGTCCTGTATAAAATTGTTATTTCCCGCAGAATCCTCACGCACCACATTTTGTCGTACGGATTCCCTCTAAAATTCTATATGCGACAGCAGTGCTCTGTTGCGCACGGTTACAATGGTGCACAGAGGCGCCGTGGTGTACACAGGCGCTGAAATGCACGCAGGCATTGCGGTGTACACTGGTGCTATGTTGTACACGGCTGATGTGGTGTACGCACGCGTTGTGGTGTAAACAAGCGCCGTGGTGCCCGCAGACACTGTGGCAGACACAAACGCTGCGTTGCACGCGGCTGCTGTGGTGTACGCAGGCTGTGTGGTGCACACAGGCGCTATGGTGCACGCAGGCACTGTGCTGTACACGGCCGCTGTGGTGCGGATCGCCATCTACATGCTGCTGCTACCCATCCACAATCATTCCTAAGCATTCCCACGCGCCGCCGGCGCGAAACGTGACATCCTCGGTCCTGTGCCCCCCCCCCAGATGACGGCCGTCATCGGCCCGGAACAAAAAAACAGGGACGACGACGACGAAGACGACGACGACGACGACGACGACGACGACGACGACGACGACGACGACGACGACGACGACGACGACGACTGCGGACCAGATTACCTATGCGGATTCCTATGCGGACGCCTAGGCGGATCCCGATGCGCGACGCACTGGGGGGGGGGGGCGTTACGTGATATAGGGGGGCGGGGGCTACAACGCCCGTTATGCCCAAACCAATCAAGAAACACGCTCCTGCAGGTGAAAGGCTACACTGTGCCGTCGCAATTTCGAAGCGACTCGTGACAACATTTCCGATTTGTTCTGGGTCGATACTTGGGGGCGCGAGAGATAAAACCATGGCGGAGGCGCTAAGTCGTAATCGCAGGCCCAGGGGTTCCTCGTGCGCTCTCCTCCCACGACCTGGATGTTGTGCGCGGCATTCTGCATTGCCATCATGTATTGCCGGATCTGCGGGAGGTCCATGGTGCAGAACTTCCCCAGCTCCTTCCCGAGGCGTGCCCGCCTTGCTGCAAACCCACCAGGGCAGGCGCAGGCGCCACTGTCGCGCCTCTGCCGAGGCCATGAGCTTTCCTGAGCAGCGATGTGCAGTGCCCGCTCGGGCTTTTTCACGTGTGCAGCGGCTGCTGTGCAGAGGCTCACTGCTGTTGCTGAAGGGGCCCTGGGACACACAAATAAATATACACAAATAACCGGATTACCCATATTTTCCCATATTTTCTGGGTTTTTGTCTTTCCCCCCACTTCCAATATTTTCCCATATTTTCTGGGTAACCGTCGATTAATAGTGTCTGTGTGTTTTTGCTCCCTCCTGAGTTGCTGATGCGACAATTTTGTGGTTGCCTCGCGCGGGGCCCTCTGGGCCCCGGGAGCGACTGGGCCTGCCCTTTTCCGCCACGCCCCTCCGGCGCGGCCTCTGAACACGAGCGCCCTGGCCAGACCAGGCCCCCGCCGCTCAACCCACCAGCCTCTCCCTCCTCCCTACCCCTCCACACCTTTGTGGGCCCCGGAAACGGCAGGGCCGTTTTTTCACCGTTTCCAAAAAAATGTCCCTTGAAAATGGAAATGGCAAAAAACGGCGACCGGAAATGGCAACAAAAAAACGGCTCCAAAATTGGAACTGGAGCCGGAACCGGTCAAAAAACGGCGACGGAACCGGTAAAACAATGGCGTCGGAACCGGCAAAGAAACTGCAAAACGGAACCGGTAAAAAAACGGCCGTCGTTTCCAGGGCCCACTGAGCTCCTCCCCACCCCTCCACACCCCCACCCTTGCGCCGCGCCCGTCCGTCACCGCGGCCGCGATCGCCTCCGCCCCGCTGGGGACCGGCAGGGGCCGCGCCGGAGAGGCCTTGCATGCCACACGGGGCCAGCTGCAGCCGCCGCCGGCGCCGTCCCCGTCTCCGTCTCCGCCGCCGTCGTCATCGCTGTCGCCCTCGTCGTGGCCGTCTTCGTCTCTGTCGTCGTCGCCGAGATCGCTATCACCGTCGACGTCGCCGTTTTCGTCGGCATCGCTGTCGCCGTCGTCGTCTTCGTCTCGTCGTCGCCGTCGTCGCCTGCGTGCTGGTTGTGCGCCTTCGTCGTCTTGCGCGATCTTAGACGATTGGGTTGAAATCGGCCTCGGAAAGCAGCGGGCAACCTGAAAGCAACCCATCCAGCCCAAACCTGCCGAGTCAAGTTCAGCGCAGGGCCAAGTCGGGCGGGCGTTCAAACATGCGTAATGGGGGACCCCCTCCCCGCCCCATTCCACTGACCGGAACTGCCGTCACCCGAAAAACACCCAGCTACGGCAGACCTGGCTTAGTGATTTCAGCCCATAGTTTGGACTTCGGGGCCCAATCACCATCTGGCTCCCCTTCACCAGGGTCCTGGCTATACTCGGGGTCGGCCCCGAGGGGGGCGTCCAAGAGGGGGGGCGCAAATCTTGGCCAGCGGCGTGTGCGCGGCCCAGGGGGGGGGGGCAGGGAACGTATTGAAATACAGAGGAGGCTCCATGAACTCTGGGGAGATCTCATGGCCCCCGCCATGATATCCACCCCCCCGTCAGTCCTCACCCCCCTCTTTGCCGCCCCCGATATCCCCGACCAGGGCAGACAAGGTCACCGCACCTCGATGCAATCGGCCGTGCCACGCGAGCGGGCACAACTCCGCTGGCGCCGCCGCGTGCCCTGCGCCGGCCGAGGGCCGCTTTCGGCGCAGCTGGCGATGGGGAGGTGGCATCCTCCCCCCCTAACGTTCGGCTACACGTAAGAGTGACCCTGGGCAAGAGTGACCTTTGGTGCGCGACCTTTTGGGGGCCGCGGGGGGTGGGCCAAACACAAGCGCGCAAGACGCCACTGCCGCCCGGCGTTCGGCGATCGGGGGCCCCAACGGGCCCGCACCAAAGGTCACTCCGGCGAAGGGTCACTCTTACGTGTAGTCGAAACGTGTGGGACCCCATCCCAGGCCCCCAGCCCGACGCCGTGATTTTTGTCCCAACGCCCACGCCCAGAGGTCTGGACCCCTTCCCCGGAACCGGGTTTTCATCCCCAGTCGTTTCTTGACGGCCCCGAGGCCTGGTGAGGGCCCCGGGAGGCCGAAAATGGAGAAGCACCTCTCGCCGCGAGTTTTGTTCACGGCGCGTGGGGGTCTGAGGTTTCGGTCCATATTGCGTGGGATCATATCATATCGTGCGATACCGTAAGGCGTAGGACCCTATCGTGTGGGCCCCCGTCGTGTGGGATCTTTTCGGGTAGGGCCCCATGGTGGGAATATGCCGTGGGGAACCTCTCATGTGGGGGACCCTGGCGGGTGAGAAACCTATCGTGCGGAACCCCGACAGCATGGACACCGTGGGGCCCTATGGATCGGGATCATCTGCACGACGAGGACGAGAACTAGGACGGCGGAGACGAGGACGACGAGGACGACCGATGACGTCCAGAAAACTGCACTTGCTGGAGGCCCTGGAAGCCTTCTGGGCGCTGGCCCTGCAGGCCCAACATGAGCAACCGACGGAACAGAAACCACGAATCACCGATGACGACGACGACGACAACGGACAGGATGACAACGACGATGACGACGACGGACAGGACGACGACGACGACGACGCCGACGCCGACGCCGACGACTGACGACGACGACCACCTACGATGGCAACGACCGCCGACAACGATGGACGACGGCGACGACGACGAAACACGATGGACGAGGACGACGACCACGACAGTGCCCGACGAGGACGAACCAACGACGGCGACGAACGACGCACGACGCACGACGCACGACGGACGGACGACGACGGCGACGACGACGGCGGCGGCGGCGGCGGCCGCGGCCGCGGCGACGGCGCCGCCGAGGCCTCGCACGCCCAGGCGCCGCCGTGCTCGGCCGGCGGACCGCCCGGGCAGTGCAGCAGCAGCCCCTGACGCGCAGGGCGCCGGGCCCCCGTCCCAGCGCTCGACCGAAGCCGTGCCAGCCAGGAGAGCCCAGAATCGAGTCGATAAGTCGAATCGGCGATCGAAATGAATCGGATCGGCGGAAATCGGCAGACAGTCGGGAGGAGTCGAATCGGCGGATATCGGCAAAGTAATAAGGCCTCAATGAGGAATCGGAATCCGAATCGGAATCCGAAATCGAATCGAATCGGAATCGGAATCCATCGAAATCGAATCGAATCGAATCGGAGGAATCGAAACGAGCCCTGCCGTGCTCTTCGTTTTGGCTGTGTGGCGGCGCGCAGCAGGGGGCAGGGGAGGGGGGAAGGCTTCCTTGGAAGCGCCCTGCTTCTTCGAGGGCCCTGGCCCGACATCTACCAATGGGGCCAGCGCCCTCCGAGCAGCAGGGGTGCTCCTGAGAGGCCTTCCCCCCTCCCCCTGCCCCCCTCTGCGCGTGGCCGAGCTGTGCTGTGCATGGGCGCACAGAAGTATCCGTATCCGCGGCTTCGCGGGCTGGGCCCCGGGGCCGCGACCTCAAGGATGCGGGGCGTTGTTTGTCGCGGATGCCCCGCGCGGAACGTATCCGTATGCGACCGCGCATCCGCGGGATCGCGCCCCAAAATGCAGACTGCCAGCGCGCGAATCCGGATATGTGCGTGGCTCGTGAGGATCTGTGAGTGGCTCGTGAGTTGTGGTTTTCCATCGTTCTGTCTTCGCCCCACCGTGGCTGCAAGAGGGCGTCAGAACGGAGACGGCCCACGGCATCGCCAAAGCACTGTTCAGGTCGGGCTCCTCCTCATCATCGCCAAGGCATCGACGGCAAATTATCATCGTCACTATCATCATCACGATCGTCATGAGCATGATCATCATTATGATCATCATCAGCAGCATCATCATCACCATCTTCATCATCAACATCATCATCAAGATCTTCTTCATCATCATCATCATCATCATCAGCATCGACACCATGATCATGATCAGCATCATCATCATCAACTTCATCACCATCAAACCTGCCATCATCATCGTCATTCTCAACACCGTCATCGTCCTTTCTATTGTCAACATCATCACAATCATCAGCAGCATCATCACAAACATCGAAAATGTCATCGTTGTCATGATCAAGATCACGCTCATCATCACCACCACCATCATCATCACCACCAGCATCATCATGATCATCAGCATCAGCATCATCATCGACATCATCATCAGCAGCATCGCCATCAGCATCAGCATCATAATCATCTTCAGCAGTCATATCATCATGATCATGATCATGTACATCATCATCATTGTCAGCATCGTCATCATCATCAGCATGGACAACAGCATCATCACAATCGCCAGCATCATCATCAACCTCACCATTACAACATCAGCATAATCATGATCATCATCATGATCAGCATCATCGCCATCATCATTACCATCATTATCATCATCATCCTCGTCATCAACAGCAGCATCAGCATCGATAACATCATCAACATAAACACCATCACCACAATCAGCATCATCAGCATCATCAACAGCATCACCATCATCATCATCAGCAGCAGCATCCACAGCCTCATCATTAACAACAGCAGCATCAATATCAGCATCAACATCAACAACATCACCATCGTCATCACACTCAGCATCAGCATTAGCATCAGCACCAGCACCATCATCAGCATCCCCCTCCTCTTCCTCCTCCTCCTCCTCCTCCCTTCCTCCTCCTCCTCCCCCTCCTCCAGCTCCTCTTCCTCCTCCCTCTCCTGCTCCTCCTCCTCCGCCTCCTCCTCCTCCGCCGCCTCCTCCTCCTTCTCCTCCTCCTCCTCCTCCTCCTCCTCCTGCTCCTCCTCTCTCTCCTCCCGTTCCGCCTCCCCCTCCGCCTTCCCCTCCCCCCTCCGCTTGGGAGAGACTATCGTGTCGACGATCTCTCTGCAGGGATTCGCCGTCGTCGTCGTCGTCGTTGCCAGTCCCACGGAATTGAGGAACAAAGACATTGAGAAACATCGTAGTCAAGTCGAAGTGAAGCCCCTTCCCCGTTCCTCCGGGGTCAGAATACCGCCCCCCCAGGGTCTCACGGATGTCCAGGGAGAGGCCGCCAGCGGGGTTACCGGGGGAGGCCCCGCCTTGAGGATCGGCGGCACCGGCCGTAAGGCCTTCGCAATCTCATCTTCCTCCTTAGCCTCCGCCTCACCAACGTGTCTCTTCTTCCTCCTTTGAAGAGCGCGCGGGCAGAGGCAAGCCCGATACTCTTCGGCAGCATGCCAGTCCGACGGCAATTGTAAAGCGTGGACTGGGGACTCGATGGCCTCCATTGGTTTCCGTCCGTTGGTTGCAACCCTTTCTCCTTCCGCCCGCCCTCACCCTCCTCCTCTCCATACTTCTCCTCAGCAGTCTGTCGGGGCTGTCTCCGAGACAGCACAAGTCCATTTTCGAGGGCAACCCGCGGCCAGGACATGAAGAAGTGGAATGAGGTACGATGTGCGAGATATACGCTGCCAAGATATAATGGCTGACATCTGGATCTGATCGGGCTGGTCTTGAGCTTCAGTCTGACATCTGCCCGCCCTGTTTGCCCCAACTGTATGTTCCTACACTTCCCTGAATGGGACCCTGATCCTCTCACTCCTCTTAATTACGGCTGATCACGCTGACATGTCACGAGCCCTCCAGACATGAGTGGCTCGACATAATCAGCGCAAGGGGGCTGAACGGTCTTGCACCGCCGCTGGGCGCGTGGCGGGCGTAGAGACGCGCGGTGGGACGTCCTACCAGCGCCGCGGTCTACCCGCGATCCACCCACCCTGCTCTAAAAGATTCGGCGCCTGCGGCGAGCGCCCAACCAGCGGGGCCAGAGGCAAGGACGGGAGGAGGGAGGAGGGGTAGGCGAAGAGGGGGAAGGAGACGCGGGACACTGTCTCTTCAAAACGAGGGCCCAACACCACAGGATGGTCCGGAAAAACAACGCCTGCGGCGGGCTCCGTCAAATGTCCTTTCGAACCTCGCGGATTGCCGACGACTCACCCACCCCGCCCCCCTCGCTCTCGTCCGCACTTGAGGGGCTATGGTAATCATTCCAGCTCTCCGCTCCACCTCGTGGTAAAATGGCTAATTTCTCCTTCTTAGCTACACTCCCTCGCCCACCCGACAGGTGACAAATCAGGGCCAGTGCCCCCCCCGACATCTCTGTCAACAAAAGCGATGCAAAGTGCACTTTGCGGCAAAATCATGGGCCATGTGTCTGGGGGGCCCGCGAGCACGCTGTAGCACTGTTTGGGCAGGCTCGGCGGGGGTGCCAGCATGTGGCCGGCTGTGCGCAGGGCCACCATCCCTGCCAAACAAATAAAAAACAATGCTGACTGCACTTCGCGGCCAGTGTGGATCGTGGGAGGGCACCCCGCGATCGATTTGCACAGGCTTTTGGACAGGGGCGGCGGGGTTGCTGGCATAGTGCCTGCTGCGTGCAGGCCCACCGCACGTCATAGTAATGGTCACGCCGTCGCGATTGTGCAGTGGTTTTCGAGGAGGCCGACGTGGCGCACCTCGCCCCAGCATCGCGCACCAGGGGGTCCGTATGGGTACCCAGCAGCTTCCCATCCGAAAGTGACCGCCAAATAAGCTGAGACGCGGGGGCTACTCGTGTGTTGAGAGGGCGGGTGGGAGTGAGCCAACTAGTTTGCGGCTGGGAGACGTGTCTCGATCACTGTACCCTATCAATGTACACCCCTTCCCACAGGCGAACGGCAGCCAACCAGGAGCAATGAGGGCCACGCCCCCGCCATCCCTGTTCAACAATTCTACGAGGCGCACTCTGCCTCCACATTTGGAGCATGCGCGGCCAACCCGATGTGGCCTCCCCCACCATCCCTGTCATAAAAAAATACAATACACACTTTGGGGCAAAGTCTGGAGTCGTGGTCGTGAGGCCCGCGAGCATTTTGTAGAACATTCTGACAAGGACGGCGGGGGCGTTAGCAGATTGCCTGCTGCGCACAGGGCTACAGAGAAAAGAAACAATACAAAATGCACCTCGTGGCTAAATCTGGATCATGCGCGGCCGCCCCGCGATCACTGTCAAGTGGTGGTTTATGGCCTGCTGCGCGCAGGCCCACCAGGCGCAATGATGGGCATTGGTTTTCGACATGATTGATGGGGGCCGGCATGTTTCCCGATGTGTGCCGTTACGTGCGCAGGCGCACCCGACACACTCTGCACGTACCCTTACGTCGGGCCTGTCCCCCTACGGGGGGATTTTCGAAAAAAAATACTCCAAAATACCCCAAGAAGGTCAAAGCATACTCAAAAAATAGCCCCCAGTCTATGTGTTTGAGTATTTTTTGATTATTGTTGGGGTATTTCTTATTTTGCGTCGAAATTTCCCTGCTGCAGCGTGCGGCACACTTGGCACACGCGGAGGCGCGCGGCGCACCTGGCGCACCCGGCGTGCGGCACGCCCGGGCCCCAGGGGTGCCTGGCGCGCGTGGCGCGCCTGGCACGCACGGCGCACCGCGCCCCAGCATCGCGCACATGGGCCCGGTCTTGGTCCCCAGTAGCTGTCCCCCCAAAGACGACCGCAATAATAAGCTGAGACTCGTAGGGGGGGCCACGTGCGAACCCTGCCCCTACCCCCCACGATTTCTGAGGGGGAGGGTGGCGTTCACTTCGCCTCCCCCTCAGAAATCGTGGGGGGTAGGGGTAGGGTTCGCACGTGGCCCCCCAACTCGGGTACTACTCATGTGTTACTTTATGTGTTGGGACGGCGGGTGGGAGTGCGCAAGACGGCCTGCGCACTGGCGGGAGCTTACCCCCTTTCCTGCCCCTTCACCTGGGAGTCGGAAAAGGGAAGCGTGGTTACTTGGAGATCCTAAGATGGCTGAATATGGAAATGGCTCGAATATGGCCCCGTTCAAACCAATGCGGACTGCAGGATGACCCAAAGAACTTGGTTGGCTCCGAAAGGTTTCCAAAACGAACTTACGATGAGGAGGGAGAGGGATGTGACAGGAGGAGGGCCGGGCCAGAGAGACGAGATAGGAAGAGCGAGGAGGTGCGGGGGAGTAACGAGGAAAAGGGAGCCATCCCCTATCAGGAAGGAAAGGAACTAAAGGTGGAGGAGGGAGGAGGCAAGAGGAAGGAACGGAGCAGCTCGAGGACGACAACAGGACGCCATCGGGCCCCACGGCCCAGCGAGCACGGAAGGCCTGCTTGGTTACGAGCTCGAGCCCGTGTTGGGTCCTGTCGAGCGATCGTCGCCGTCGCTGTCGCGCCTGCGTCGCCGTCGTCGTCAAAGCCGACGTCGCCGTCGCAGTCGCGGACGTGGTGGCCATCTTCGTCGTCGTCGTCGCCGACGTCGCCTGCGTCGCAGCCGTCGCCGTCGCCGCCATCGTCGTGGTCGTTGCCGTTGCCGCCTTTGTCGCCGTCGCCGCTGTCAACGTCATTTTCTTCGTCGCCGTACTTGTCGTCATCGCCGTCGAGGGATAGATTGGGGGCGGGCTCCGAAAGACCCTCCGCCGCCTCGCAGGGAGGAACTCTGACACTGGCGAAATGTGGCGTCGCGAAGACTTGAAACGGATGTTGTTTATCCTCTTCGGTATCCAGGTGCCCCTCCTGGATGAGACCACCGTCCCCCGGACAGGGTGGAGAGAAGTGCCCCCCCCCCAGACAGGAACAAAAAACGCTTCGGAAGACTACTTTTGTCGCCTTCTAGGGATGGGGGAGGGCCCTCCGGATCCCTGGGTGATTTTGCACGTTTTCGCTTGTGCTCTGGTTCTCCCGAAACGTTTGGCAGGTTAGGGTACGCTTGATTGCCCCTTCCGTGCGGGGACCATCTTCTGGAAATTCAGGGTCCCCGACTTTGGGAGATCTGGGGACAGGGAAAGAGGGGGGTGAAGGGAGCGCTGAGGAGGCAGCGGGGGGGCGGGGGGGGAGAGCATGGGCGGAAAGAACCAGCTGGATGGAAGGTGGAGGGAGCGGGGAGGTAGGGGAGCGCGGGGGGCAGACGGAGGGGGCAGGAGGGCTTGGAGGAGCGGGAGGATGGGGGGAGCGGAGGGAGCGCGGGGATGATGGAGAGCGATGGGGATATAGGGAGAGGAGGAGGATGGGGGGAGGGGCTCAATGCTGGGTAGAAACTCGCTGGCCCAACGGGCCAGAGGAGTGCTAAGATCTCCGGCAACTGCTTTAGAATATTTCGGCTTCGCACGCGCGGGGCGGCCCTGGGGGTCCAAGGGCGAAAAGTACTCCGGCTGGTTCGAGTCAGAGGTGGTTTCCTTCTGGGCGCCGCCCTTCAGGCCCTCCAGAGCGCTCCAAAAGGCCCGAAAGACGGTCCAAGAGGGCTCCCATTCGTCGAGCGTTCGGTCCAAGACGCCCAATGTGGCCCTCAGGTGCCCCACCCAGGATGCCTGCCAAACGCCCCAAGAGGCCACCAAGAGCCCTCTCCAGAGGGTCCACAGAGGCAAAAAGTAATGGATCCCCCTTAGTGTTTCAAGGATTCAGGGGTTCTCGCCGTTTCGTCTTAATTACCCGCGCTCCAAGACGGTCCAAGAGGCCCCCAAGATCGCCCAAATGGGGTCCAAGACGCCTCCAAGAAGGCCCCAAAGCAGCCCCAGCGGGCCCGGAAAACAGCCCAAGAGCCCTCCGAGACGGCCCAAGAGGCCACCAAGAGAGCTCCAAGAGCGGGCCCTGACCAGGCACCCAAACAGACATTTCAGCTCTCGGCCCCGAGAGGCCCCAAGAAGGCCCCAAGAAACCTCCAAAAGACTCGCCAGAGGCCGCAAGAGGCCCCCAAGAGGCCTCAGGAGGTCCCAAACTTTCTGCGCAACAAGTGAGATCGCCTGCTGCGCGGGCAACACCCGCAGACGGGGAAGCCGCTCCCGACCGTGCTGGAGCCAGTCCAGCGCGGCGGCGCACGTCGTTAAGGTCGATGAGGTGACGTCCCACACGTTGGAGTTCCGCAAGCAGAGCGATGTGGGCTGACCTCCGCGCGGCCTGCGCGGCGTGGGGGGCCTTCGGTGGGACCCATCGAGGCCTCTGAGGGAGCAAACGCTGCCCCTGAGAGGCCTCCCAAGAGACCCCAAGCAGCCTCCCAAACAGGCGTCTTGTCCACAATCAATGTTGGCCCCCTAATGCCCAAAGAAGCGATCGAGAGGCCTCCTTCTCAACCTCCTCCTCCTCCTCCTCCTCCTCCTCCTCCTCCTCTTGCTCCTCCTTCTCCTCCTCCTCTTCCTTCTCGCTCGCCACGGGCATCGCTGACGATTCTGCCCCACAGCACATGCGCAACGGTGGGATGGGCTCCAGGCGCTCTCCAATGCGCCCAAGGTGAGTCCCAGATGCCCCAGATGGTTTCCAAGACGGACCTGTGAGGCCACCAAAGCCGCCAAGATGGCAGAATATGCCTCCAAGACAACCGAAGAGGCCCCAAAGAGACCCCAAGAGCGCTCCAAGAGGTCTCTAAGAGGGCCCACAGAGACAAAATTCAGAGATTTGGATTGTGTTCTTCAATGTTGTTCACGCGATCGCCTATTCTAGCATCCGAAGCTCCAAGACGACCCCAGGGGCCCCAAAGACCGCCTCAAGACGGCCCAAGAGGCCCCCAAGAAAGTCCCAAGACATCTCGAGACGGCCCAAGAGGCGCTCAAGACTGCCCAAGAGAGCCCCAAAACGGCCCCAAGATGGGCCCAAGAGGGCCGGCAGAATGAGCGACGCGATCCGCCGCCCCAACGGATACGGCGTGTAAGATCCCCTCCGCATGGTCTGCGCGAATTCTTTCCCCTCGGTTCCTTGCCCACGCACTATTCGTACCCATGCCCTTCCTCAGAGACACGGCAACGCCTCCTGGGGTCCTCCACGTGGCCTGCTCACTCTGCCGGCCAGGGGGCCAGGGGTGCGGCCGGGGCGCTTTCTTGCCACCACTCCCGTCTCAAAACGACTCCCCTTTCACGCACTCGGCTTCCGAGCGCCACCAGCCCTCTCAGACACCTCTCCGGGAGCCTACTGGGCCAGTCTGGGGGGCCTCTCGGAGCTCTTTCTGGGCTGATCTTGACCGCCCTTCGGGCCACCAACGGCCGTCCCGGATGCCTCCCCACCTCCCTTCGAGTCTCATACACCAGAAACCCCCCAAAAGCAAAACACAGCGTAAAACAAATGGGATTCAGACGATTCTGCCCTTCTCGGGCTGTTCCTGGCGCCTCTCTTGGAGTCCGCGGGCTCTTGGAACCTGCGGCTGCTCTCCGCGGCCGCCCTGACGGCCTCTCGGGGCCCTCCTCGCCCGTCTGAGCTCATTTTCGGTGCTGTCGTGAGCGGTCTTGGGCACGCCCAGGAGGCCCCTGGAAGCCCTTGCGAGGCTCCAAAACGAAGTGGCGATGCTCCTGTCTGCCTCTCTGCATCCCGCCTCGGTTCCCGCCGCCGTTTCCGACACCCGTGGGTGCCCTTTTCGCTCGCTCTCGGGTCCTCACGGGGCCCGCTGGGGATCTTCTTGGGCTCTTCTCCGCGTCTTCTTGGACCCTCTGTCGGCGGTGGACAAACCTCCCTTTAGTAGACCTCCCCTTGGTGAAAACGGCCTGGGACCGAAACCGACGGACCTGGACCCGCAAAACTGACGGCCGCGACGCCCCCTCTCGCGAACCGAAAACGGCCGATTATCGACGTGTCAGGGCAGGAGGTCTGTCCACCCCCGACTCTATGGGGCGTGCAGGAGAGCCCCCCCCGAAAAGGAAACTCCGGGCTCCAACAAGGAGTGGGGCGGCGGTGCCTGCCCCCTATCGGGAGCGTCAGACTGCATGAGGGGAGGGCGGAGAGAGGGGTGGGTAGGGAGAGGGCCGGCGCGACGACGAGGCGAGGTTGACCCCCGTCTGGGGGATACCCTGCCCCACGCTTCTTAAACAAAAACCCGAATAGGCCCCCAAAAGTCCGACCGCTCCTCAACCCGCTACTAGGGGGCCACGTGCGAACCCCACCCCTCCCCCCCACGATTTCTGAGGGGGAGGGTGGGGCAGGGTTCGCATGTGGCCCCCTAGTGGGAGCAGGGAGGGAAGTGGGCATGGCATGGATGAGGAAAGCACAGCCTTCCCCGCAAATCTTCATCACAGCAGAACTGTCGCACGGCTCGCCGCTCGTGATGCCCACGTCGCGGGGGGAGGGGGAGGGAAGAGGGAGGAGGGAGGAGGGAGGAGAGAGGATGAGGAGGGAGGAGGGAGGATGGAGAGGAGCGGAGGAGGAGGAGGGAGGAGGAGGAGGAGGAGGAGGAGGAGGAGGAGGAGGAGGAGGAGGAGGAGAGGAGGAGGAAGAGGAGAGAGGAGGAGGGGTGAGGAGGGGGGGGGGCGGAGGCCTCTCTGTGCTCCTGCTTCAGTTGTTGCACCCATTTGTCGACACAAATATCTTGAGGGCCCCTGTTAAGACCACGCCCGCCCTCCTCCTCCTCCTCCCTCTCCTCCTCCTCCTCCTCCCTCTCCTCCTCCTCCTCCTCTCCTCCTCCTCCTCCTCTCCTCCTCCTCCTCCTCCTCCCCTCCCCTCCCCTCCTCCTCCTCCTCCTCCTCCCCTCCTCCTCCTCCTCCTCTCCTCCTCCTCCTCCTCCTCCCTCCTCCTCCCTCCTCCTCCCTCCTCCTCCTCCTCCTCCTCCTCCTCCTCCTCCTCCTCCTCCTCCTCCTCCTCCTCCTCCTATTCTCTCCTCCCTCCTCTTCCCTCCTTCTCCTCCACCTCCTCCTCGCCTCCTCCTCCTCATCATCTTCCACGGCCTCCGTCTCCGCCCACTTCGTCGCCGACGTCGAGGTCCTCTTCAGGGTCGGCGGCACGGGCCGTCAGGCCTTCGCAATATCTTGAAGGCCCCTGTTAAGACCACGCCCCCGAACAAATCGCGAAGCACTAACTGGTGTTTAACACCTGGGCTTGGTACCCTCCTCCGTGTGCGGACGTTCTAGAAGCAGGTATGGGTTTGGCCCTGCGTTCTACCTATACTGCTGCTATCTGCGACGAGTGACGATTGATGCAGGCCCTTCTCCCTAACCCTCAACCCCAAACGCGCTACTTTTACTTCAAGTTGCGAATGTAGTCTTGGAGCGCTCTCGTGTTGACTCTGTACATTTTCGTGTGGTCAATACGGAGCGTGTGGGAGGGCTTCTTCGTCGCCTCTTAATTCAAAAAGGGGAGCCACAACAGGGGGGCTACGTCCCTTAGGCTTGGCGATGCTGGTGCTGGCCTTACACTGAGGCTCAGGCTCCATGGCCCAAGCCAGGTCGAACCGACCAACACCAGAACACGCTTGATCTGCGAGTTAGGGTGGTCGCGGAAACGGTGGCGGTGACGTCGATGACGATGAGTCTCCTCGTCCTCCGTCTCTGCTTCCTCTTGCCATCTCCTTGAGAAAGCCTGGGCATGTGACCCTGAGCCTGAATCTGTCCATCGCTCACTGCGAGACGTCCCCGAAACTGGCGGCCCAGCAGAGGCAGGCCTCGCAAGGCCTTCGTCAAGTGCAGCCCTGCTCCTGAGCGCATGGCCACATCAGCTAGCCTGACCGCTGCACGGCACGAACCCCAGCTGACGCCGGACGACTGCAAGCCCACCCCCAGATGCGAGTAGATTCGCTCGTGAGAAGCAAATGACAAAACCCCTGTCCGTTCGCCCGCGCAGACAATTGACAGGAACCTTCCAACGGTTGTGCGCAGAACCAGCGGAAGGAGAGGCAGGGTCCCCCAGCTCCTCCCCCACTAGAAATGCACACCCCCACTAGGAATGCACACCCCGTTCGGAACGCACTCCCCCACAAAAAGCACGCAACTGGTGCAGCAGAAGTTATGCGGGATACGGCTTGCAGACATCGATAAAGAAGGGATGTATGAGAAGGCGTATCATGCGAAGGCCTCTACAACGACGCGCTGCTCTCGGCCTCAACATGCGACCCTGTCCTCGACAGACCCAAACAATCAAGCTCACAAGGCGCGCGTTGGTTGAGTGGAACGGGAAGCATCCTAGCCAACTTCACGCCCATGCTGCCATGGACTCTGAATCCGCGCAGCGGCGCAGAATGTCATGCCTCAGCAACTCAGGAACGCATGCTATGTGAGCCCACATGTCGCACGCACTGCAATGAAGGGCACAATTATGATTGCCGCATCTTCCGCCCCGCACGCAGCATTTCGCTTTACCTGTTGGGCACTGGGACTGGGGTGGGATATTGCCTCCGCGCGCCCCTTTGCATCGTGCGCGCAAGCGCGATGTACTTTGCTCTGCCGCAGAAGTCTTCTCCGCGAGACCCTGCTCGGCTGCGGCACCCTCGCTCTCTGCGGACTGCCCGACCTCGCCGCCGCAGTCGGACTCCGCGTCGGGGCTGCTGACCGCGCGGCCATCGAACAGGCAATCGGACCTCCCCGATGGAGGTATACATCGGGAAACCCTTTTCGGAACCGCCGCAAGGCACATCCCTATTGTGGCAGCGCTATGAGACAAGATCGCCGTGTGGGCCATTTCCTCGTTCTGCGACTCCTGCACACTCACGGAATTTCAACCAAGATCTGCAAATTTGTGCGAGCCTTCTACAACAATTTGTCGTACTCGCCGGCCCCATGGACGACTCTGTCGCTGGCGCGCTCGGCGATAGGAAGCACATCGGGGCCATGATCTGCCCGAGCCGCAGCCCATGCAAAGGATACCCCTTAAATCGAGAACTTCTCTGGCGACCTGCTGGCCTAGCGCATCAGCAGCGGCCCCAGCGGTCGCGTGCACCATCCCAATTTCAGACATGATGAAACAACCTGTGCCGGCGTTGATGTAGGTCTCGCTCTCCACGTCGTTGTAAGTCAACTAGGTATCGAACCTCTCTCCAATTTGCGTCGCCACATGTACGCCAACGTCAAAAGATGTCGAATAGCTTGGTCTGCTGCTTGGCAACGCTCTCACCCGTGGCAGCGTGTTGGAAGATGCTGCGAGCGCTGCCCTCGGAAAAATTGCCTTCCCCACCCTTGAAGACGGACTCGGTGTCGGCCGTGCTGGTCTGCCCCCCCACAGCATCAATAGACTGTTTTTTCTTGAATCGGCAATAGCCCGGGCTATCCTGGGGGGGGGAGGAGGAGGCCGGCCGATAACCTGATAACCTAACCCTCGCGCTGAGGGCAGCCCTGCATACGCCCGCGCCCCCCCTCCCGCGGACTGCACAACCGGCAAAGCTGAATTATCCTGGTGGGGGGGGGGGGGCAAGCCCGATACGGCAGGTTCCTGTCGTGCCGACCCCAGCGTTGGTTTTTGACACCGCAGGGATCGCTCAACCTTGAACGATCGGCCGCTGCCGCAACGTCCGATCGTTCAACACCGATCGATTCTGGGTCGCCCGCGGCGTTCAACCTTGAACGCCCGCGCTGGGGTCGCCGCTGGTCGACACGACGCAAACCTACCGTAACCCGGGTTATCGCCCGACCCGAAATAAACAGTCTCAAAGCTCGGCGCTCATGCAGTCCATCTGTGCTCCCGGTGCCCGTCGCTGCTCGGCACAGCGGCGCGCAGGCTCCGCATCCGAGCGAGTCGAATCGGCCTCCGCGCACTCGTCGCTGACCTTCTCGGCCAGCCCCAGCGCGGCATCCCACTCGCACCTCCTCCTTAAAGGGGCCCCAGGACACACAAATAAATACACACAAATAAAAGGATTCTCCATATTTGCCAACCTTTTCTGGGTTTTTGTCTTCCCCCCCACTTCCCATATTTTCCCATATGTTCTGGGGGATCGACGATACATTGTGTCTGTGTGTGTTTTTCCTTCCTGGGTGAAGGTCCGCAGAGACATGCCAAGCCTCGAGCCAAATGTGGCCACGGATCTCGTCACTCTGGGTCCTTTCCCCCACCTCCGCCTCCGTTCCCAGCCATCCTCCCCCTCCTCCCCAATCCTTCTCCTGCTTCGCATCCTCCCTAGTCTTCATCCTCCTCTTCCTCCTCCCCCTGCGTCCACGTCCTCCTCCTCGTCCTCCCCTTTCCCTCTGCCTCCTCTGCCATCTCCCTACTGATCCTCCTCCCATGGCATACATCCTCCTTATCGTCATCCTCCTTCTTACCACATCCCTCCCTCGCCACATCCTCCTAATTACCACATCTCCTTCTTACCACATCCTCCCTCCATCGTCTTTCCTTCTTACCCGTAAAACCCCTTGTTCGCCGTCTCCTCGTCGTACCCCTCTCCTCTTCCTTCCTTCATGACTCCTCCTCCTCCTCCTCCTCCTCCTCCTGCTACTCATCCCCTCATCTCCCTCTTCTCGCCACCGTCGTCGTCGTCGACCTCCTCCTCCTTGTTTGAGCAGGGACCGACCGTCCCGGCATTTTTATCAGCCTACCACGAAATGTTCTTAGAACCCAAAAATGTTCTAATACAAGTCAATGCTCTGAGAACATCAGCCCGATGTGTTAAACCAAAACAGTCCCAGCCAGAAATGTTCCAAGAACATGTCGCGCAGACCAAAACGCTTCTTAGAACATTATTTGGTAGGCGTATAGGCGAGCTAGGACGCTTCGCCACTGCTTGACTTATCCTCTTCCCCGCTTCATCCCTCCTCGTATGAACTACCCGCCGTCGTCCTTCTCCTCCTCGTCCTCCTCGTAGTCGTCGTGGTCCTCCGCGCCCAGGTACTTCCTACCCTCCCACTGTCCAGTCCCCACACTCCCTCCCTCTCTCTTGCCCATCGTCGTCGCCGTAACTCCTCCTCATCCTCGCCGTGACCGCCCCCCTTCCTTCAGCGGAGACTCATGGGAACATCCCAGACCATCTGTATGGCTCTTGTGAATCGACACTAATCGACGCTACATCGACGCTACATCGATGTTACCCGACGCTTGCCGACGCTAAGTCTGCTCTATCTTATCGACTACTAGACGATAAATCGGCGTGCGCCAGCGAACGGCACTCACTTCCCCTCCCCCCCCGCTCCTCGTCAAAGCATGACCTCATCTTTCCTCGGCGGTGCAGGCATGGAACCCTTCGGGGTGGGGCCCCAGGTGGGGATCAGTGTCGGGGGGGGGGGGGATTGGCTCAGGTGGGGAACATCGACTTGGAAGCGGCGATGCATCGCCGCTGGACCGATCGGCGATGCATCGCCGCTAGATCGCCGACAGTAGGGGACCACATGCGAACCCTACCCCTGCCCCCCACGACTTCTGAGGGGGAGGTTGGGGTTCACTCCGCTCGGGAGCCCCCGAACGGAGCGACCCCCACCCGAACCCTTGGAAATCGTGGGGGGTAGGGGTAGGGTTCGCATGTGGCCCCCTGGATAGGCTCCCGACAGCGGGTCCGAGGAGGAGGAGGAGGAGGAGGAGGAGGCGGAGGAAGAGGAGGAGGAGGACGACGAGGGAGAGGAGGGCAAGAGGAAAAGGGAGGAGGAAAGGGCGAGAAGGCGGAGAGGCGAGGAGTGGAGGAGGAGGAGGAGGAGGAGGAGGAGGAGGAGGAGGAGGAGGAGGAGGAGGAGGAGGGTGAGCGGGGGGAATGAAGACAGATGCGGGGGCAACTGTCCAGGTCGCCCCGGCGAGAGGGCCGAACTCGCCGACGCCGCCCAACGAGAATGGCCGGGCCTCCCAGCGGTCGTCGCCACCGCTGTCCGTCGTCGCCGCCGCTCCGCTGCTCGTCGTCGTCGTCGTCGTCGTCGTCGTCGTCGTCGTCGTCGGCGTCGTCGTCGTCGTCGTCGTCGTCGTCGTCGTCGTCGTCGTCGTCGTCGTCGTCGTCGTCGTCGTCGTCGTCGTCGTCGTCGTCGTCGTCGTCGTCGTCGTCGTCGTCGTCGTCGTCGTCGTCGTCGTCGTCGTCGTCGTCGTCGTCGTCGTCGTCGTCGTCGTCGTCGTCGTCGTCGTCGTCGTCGTCGTCGTCGTCGTCGTCGTCGTCGTCGTCGTCGGCATCGTCGTCGTCGCACGACGCCTTCCAGGGAGCGCGGCCTGGCCTCCAGGGGTGAAGGAGGACACGCACACACACACACACACGCCTGTCTGAAAGAGGACCTTCCAAAGCAGGAACGCCTATGCATACATGTATATGCATACACACACATATATATATATATATATATATATATGTATATATATATACATATTCCTATTCCAAAATCTTCTTACCCGAACCCCCCCCCACCCGCATACCCCCACCCCCCGCTCCTTAACTGGACACCCCCCCCCCCAGGGACGCCCCGGACGGACGCCCTTTCAGACGTGTCGGCGGCCCCTGGGGCGCCCTTGTAAAAGATCCGCTGGCCTTTCCGGGCCTCCCGGGGTGCCTTGCCAGGCCTTGCGAGCAGACCCAAAGCGATCAGAGGGGTCATCGGAGACCCAAGACAGCACAAGAGCGCTCCAAGAGGAACCCCAATGGTCCGAAGACGGCCCACGAGGCCCTCAAGACGCCCCAAGTGGCCGTTAAGAGAGCCCCGAAGAAGCAACAATCGTCCCATTCCTTTTGGAAGAATATACAATTTAGGGTATCCGCGTTTGTGTCTTCGCAGCGTCCAAGAGGCCCGATGGGTCCCCGATATCGCCCCAAGACGGCGGAGGCCCCCCAGAGGGTTTGAAGACAGCCCAGAGGGGCCCCGAGATTGCCCCAGAGAGCCCCGAGCCTGCCCACAAAAAAAACACAGATGCCCCCCCAAGGCCCCCAAGACAGACCCACGAAAGCCACGGGAGACCCCCAAGAAGGCCACTGGAGGCCCCCGAGAAGGCCCTAGATGGCTTCAGGAGACTTCTGGAGGGTCCAGCCCCCCAAGACGGCCCAATAAGGCCCCAGGACGGTCCAAGGAAGCCCCAATACGGCCCAAAAGAGCAGCAAAAACGCCCAAACGGCGTTTTCCATGCGCTCGTCGCGCTCACGCGAAAACGCCTGTCTTTCCCGCTCCTCCACCACCCTCTGTTTCTTTCTTTCTTTCTTTGTCTCTCTCTCTCTCTCTCTCTTTCTTTCTCTTTCCCTTCCCCCATCCGCCTCCTTCGTCGACCTCCACGTTCGTGACATCCGATGGCCATCCTCATTCGCCCGCTCTTTCCTTTGGGCCCTCTCCCCGTTTCTCCTCCCCTCCCCCCCCCTTTCCGATGTTTTCAGACCCTCCTATCATCCCTGCTCCCGTCCCATTCCCCATTCATGGACAATCGCCATCGCAACAACTTGATGCTTCGTCGTTCGCCAGCACCTTCGCGCATGAACAAACATGATTTATGCCCCTTTCCCTGCGCACGAAGCATCGGGCGAACGCGGTGTCAACATACACCAAATGATATCTGAAAAAGTAAGACGATCGCCCGTCCAAGCCTCGAGGTCCCCGTGGTGAAACAAGAGATGATGGATTGCATACCCGGGGAAGCGTCCGGAACAACGCGCATGGCGCGAAACGCCAATGCTGTGTGTATGTCTCTCTATATATATATATATATATATATATATATATACAAACACTGTATATACAAATAACGCTGTACACATACGCGTTGTGCCAACATGGCTGGCACAATATCTGTGATGCAAGATATGTGGTGCAGTATCTGCGGCGCAGAATCCGTGGTGCATCCATGTGGGGCGACCGAAGTTGTGACATTTCTGTTCGGCAATAGGCGTCGTGCGTTCGACGTTATGCAATATTTGGTGCAATATGGATTGGACTGCTGGGTGGCACAACATACGTGATGCAATATAGGTGGTTCAATGAATGCGGGGCCATCGATATGGAACAACAATTGTTGTGCAACCTACGTCGTGCACTTTATGTGGTGCGATCGAAGATGACCCATTGATTTTTACACACGAATTTGCCAATTCTACGCTTTTGCAAACACCCCATAAACCATCCGCGTTGTCTGGCAAAACCCATGCGGCTCTCATTGCGACTGGTGCATGACTGGTGCAATTCTGCGACCGCGCCAGCCCGCGCGCGCGGAGGCCAACTAGCTTGGCACGACCGACGCGGCCGTTTTGGCGCTGACCGCTGGGCTCATCCCAGCGGGCACTTCAGTGCGAGTCGGCGACTTGGGCGGGCGCGGTATCATTGCAACGTTGACAACGTTAGACACGATGATGGTAGTAACGATGCTGGTGGCGGTGCTGATGACTCCGACGACGATGGCGTCGTCCGCGGGTCGGTGATGGAGGTGTTGGAAAGAGTTCAACATTCGCGCGCGGCCGACGCGCGAGAGTTGACGCGGGTCGTGCCCCCCCCAGCACGCTCGCCACGGCGTCCGCATGAGTTCGGCATGCGGCCCGACTGGCCCGCTTGGCAGAATTCCGTGAACATGTTGCGAAACCGATGGTTGTCGCAAGGGTTCGCCTGGTCGCGAGCGCAGGTGGTTTTGCTTGCAAGCTTGTGATGTGAAGTCCTGTTTTTCAAATGGTGACGGTCTGTTCCGCAATCTTTGCGAAACCCCAAGCTTTCGACGGATTTCAGCGCGCGCGCGCGACGACGCCCCGCATGCACATCGTCGCGCGTTCTGCAAAAGATTCTCGCGAGAGAACGCTGGCAAGGGCGTTCGAACGATTTCGGCATGCGCGCGCGAAGCATGAACAAGAAACCAATTTCTTTCTTAAGAATTAGCAAAAACGCAAGCCCGAGCTTGTGTTCGAAACTCCGCGTGGCGAAACAATGTGTGCTCGCATGTTCTTGGGCGCTCGGTCTTGAAATCCTTGCGGAAACGATGGTCTTTGAAAAATGTCCGCATGCGCGCTCGACGACGCGCGCGCAGTTCGCTCCATTCCATGGAAGTGATTAGTGAAAACAAATGATTTGGGATAGACGAATGCACGCGCATCGTGCATGTTGCAAAAGATTGCGGGGGGGGGTAGGTTGA